AATAAGAGATCATCCGCAAAGATAAGATGAGTTAGCTTCAGTTTAGAACACTTGGGGTGAAATTTGAAGAGCCTATCTTCCATGAGAGTGTCAAGTTTCCGAGACAAGTATTCCATTCTAATTATAAATAGGTAAGGAGAAATAGGATCACTCTGTCTAAGCCCTCTAGCCCCTTGAAAATAGCCATGAAGGGATCCATTTATAGAAATGGAGAATTTAGATGTTGTAATGCACTCCATGATCCAAGAAATCATGAGTTTAGGGAAACCCAAACCCTCCAGCATTGCTCTGATAAAATCCTAACTGATGGTATCAAAGGCTTTTCTTAAGTCTATATTCAAAATAGCTCTAGGGGATAAATGGTTCCTACCATAATGCTTGACAATCTCATGGGCCAAAAGGATGTTGCTAGAAATAAGTCTTCCCTTAATGAAGGCACTTTGAGCATCACTGATTAAATAACCCATAACTTTTTGAATTCTAGTTGCAAGGATTTTTGAGATGATTTTGTATATACAATTATAACATGATATTGGCCTATAGTCTGTAGCAACTTGAGGGTTGAGAATTTTTGGTATTAAAGTGATAGAAGTGGTATTGAACGTACCAAGCATTCTCCCAGAGCTGAAGAACTCCTCAACTGCTTCAAATAATTTATTACTGATGATATTCCAAGTGGCTTTGAAAAAGAATGCATTATATCCATCTGGTCCTGGGCTTTTATCATTTGACATAGAGAAAATAGCTTGTTTAATTTCCTCCCTAGATATAGGAAGACTGAGCATTTGCCTTTGATCAGAAGTGAGTTGTGGACCATTTGCAATTATCACAGGATTTGGATTTGAAGTAGGAACATAAGTACCAAGAAGATTTTTGTAGTAGTTGATAATTTTAGCAACCACCTGTGATCTGTCTGTAATTCTATGTAATACCCCAACCCTTGAGAGGGTGATGTGATTAGTATTGATAGATTTGATTGGAATACTCATACCACAAAGATGCATCTTCTTTTCGGGAACCCAACTCTTAGAAACTCCAAAGTTAATTGTGATGGTGAAACATGTTATTGCACGGTGTGGTGCATGGTAGGTTTAACATTTCTGGTTTCACCTCGGACTGCAGCCTTGTTTGAACCCAGGGGCATCACAGTTGGTATTAGAGCTCTAGTTCCAGTATCCTTAGGATCATCCTGTGTCGAGTGGTTTGTGAGGCCAGTCCATCAGATCTAATAGCGTACCGACCCCGGGATTCCGGGGCGGGGCGTTACAAATGGTATCAGAGCTCTAGTTCCAGTATCCTTAGGATCATCCAGTGTCGAGTCGTGGAGCTAGGTTAGAGTTTCTTAGGATTCTTGTGTAGAGTCCGCTAAGGATTTCCTAGAGGACGATATATGCGTATATCTCAAAATTTTGAGAAAATTTTTTTTTATGACAACTATTTTTGCTTAAAGTACATGTGTGAATACTATGTGATGTGAAAATCATATTGTGATGAACTATGTATGTACGTCTACTTTGACTCATGAACCTTATTTTTCTTATGATCAGGGAGATGGCAGGACGTGGGAGACCCCGCACTCGAAGGGCCGCTCAGGCAGAGCCCCAGCAGGCCCCACCTGAACCGCAGCAGGCCCCACCTGAGCCACAGTAGGCTCCACCCGAGCAGGAGCAGGTACCACCAGAGCCGCAGCAGGCTCCTCAGTATTTGGTGGATATCATGGCTCCCCTTATTGCCAGGATGACAGCCATTGAAGAGTTAGTAACGACTCACATAGCACCACGGACACCACCACCACCGGTAGCTCAGCAGCAGGGGATACCAGCCGTCTCGATCAGAGAGAGAGACCCAGAGGTAGCACCTACAGTTATTCCACTAGCGGTACCAGACAGAGTCACGGATCAGGAAGCTTGGCTCCGTATAGTAGAGAGGTATCAGAAGATGAGGGCACCCGAGTTCCAGGGGTCACCAGACCCTCTTGCAGCACACAAGTGGAAGGAGGATGTGAGCAATATACTTGACATACTCAGTGTAGATTCGGTCCAGAAGCAGAGGTTGGCATCCTACAGTCTGAAGGGAGATGCCGGGAGATGGTACCGATTATAGTTTACCCCAGAGCAGAGGATGACCCTCACATGGGAGGATTTTATCTATTTCTTTGATGGGCAGTATATTTCTTCCGCAGCCCAGACTGGGAAAGAGCTTGAGTTGTCCCGGATGACTCAGGGGGACATGACAGTGGCAGATTATGAGAGCCGGTTTATGGAGTTGAGTTGTCCCGGATGACTCAGGGGGACATGACAGTGGCAGATTATGAGAGCCGGTTTATGGAGTTGCGGCATTTCACGGGCATGTGGCGGACAGGAGAGCGTCAAGCTTAGATGTTTTTAGCAGGGCTACGCCCTAATCTCCGCCGGTACCTCGTCTCGAGGAGATTCTATTCCGTTAGGGAGGTAGCTGAGGCCGCCACCTTATAGGAGATTGAGACTACTATGTTCGTGAAGGACAAGGAAGGGAAGACCAAGGCAGGGCAGAGCGGGGATAAGGGTAAGAACAAGAGACCTTTGACAGGGCATCAGCATCAGCAGCAGCAGGGCCCTCATAAGAAGGGACCCCATCAGGATCAGAGAGCGCATCAGCAGCGCAAGTTCCAGGGATCTTGTTTTAACTGCCACAAGGTCGGGCACAAGGCATCAGAGTGTCGTAGTGCACCAGCAGGAGCTCAGCAGGACAGGGGCCCGAACCAGCAGCAGCAACGACAGTAGGGCAGAGGTCAGGGTCAGCAGAACAGGCTTGAGGCACCGCCAGCAACGCAGAGGGCAGAGGGGCAGGTTCAAGCAGTCCAGGAGGCTCCCCAGGGGCAGATTGTCCCATATTCTCCAGCATTAGCAGCAGAGCAGTCTTCAGCCACAGGCAGAGTATATGCAGTGGTTCCCCTTTTGTTTTCATTGTGTAAAAGTCTTATAAAAAGACAATCTTTTTTTTGTTTTCATTGTAACGATCGAAGTTGTAATGAATACCGCAATGAATACATTAATTTTCGATGCAAACATCCAGCTCGTAGCTCAGCCTCTAGACACCCCTTTATCAGTCTCCACCCCTTTAGGTGAGGTATCGCTTCTAGAGAGCGTTTGTAGGAGGTGTACCATCAGTTTAGACGAGTCGGAGTTCATAGTCGATCTGATAGTTCTGCATATGTCCGAGTTTGATGTCATTCTTGGTATGGATTGGTTATCGTCCTACCATATTAGTATAGACTGTTTTGCGAAGACAGACAGATTGCGAGCGTCTGATGGGTCTGAGATGATTGTGGCCACTTCTCAGGGCAATCGCTTTGCGGAGTCATTTCTGGCGTTCATCGACGAGGTGATGCTGCGGGATCAGAGTTCTGATTTGTTAGAGACTCGAGTTGTCTCGGATTATCAGGTGCCTTTCAGGACATACCTGGGTTACCTCCTGTGAGAGAGGTTGAGTTTTGTATTGAGTTGCAGCCGGGCACAGCCCCGATATCCCGCGCACCCTATCGCATGGCGCCAGCTGAGATGAGAGAGCTTCAGACCCAGTTGGACGAGTTGTTAGCTCAGGGTTTTATTCATCGGAGTCATTCTCCGTGGGGCGCGCCAGTCCTCTTCGTGAAGAAGAAGGATGACAGCATGAGATTATGTATAGATTATCGGGAGTTAAACAAGGTCACCATCCGGAATAGGTATCCACTGCCTAGGATTGATGACTTGTTCGACCAGTTGCAGGGAGCGTGATTTTTCTCGAAGATTGATCTTCGTTCTGGCTATCATCAGTTGCGGGTTCGAGAGATGGATATCCCCAAGACCGCTGTCCTCACGCGCTATGGATCTTTCGAGTTCTTGGTCATGCCATTTGGGTTGACCAATGCACCCGCGGTCTTCATGGACTTGATGAACCGGGTTTTTCGTCTATTCTTGGATCAGTTCATGATTGTTTTCATCGATGACATCCTCATTTATTCGAGATCGGAGGC